TTTTTTTTACAAATAAATTTATGTTCATCTTATTTACTGGTTCCAAAAATCTCAGTTACTTCGTGTTTCTGAATGATTTATTACAACCAGTAATTTCTGATTTTCTTAATACAGATTAGCAACAAATATTTAATGACGTTAATTTATATTGAATTTCGTTTATATGACAAAGTTGATGAAATCATCCGCATCTTCTAGCCTTCAAAGCATCATTATACTTGTGAAAATATCCTCAACATGAAGCAGTTACGTAAAAAAACAGATTTAAAATTTTAAAAAGGAAAAAGGTTAAAAATACCCTTCAACTTTGTTTTATTAGTTGATTATACCCCTGCCGTTAAAACAAAGTTATTTATTCCCTCACCGCCATTAATTTCACCATTTATCCCCCTCAACTTAAGAAAATCTCCAAATCAACAAAAATTAGCCCATTTTTTTAAAAAATTGATCCACTACCCTGATATAATTCAACCCCTTATCCAACCCAACTAATCCAAACCTATTTCACCTTAAACTCTAAAATAAAAGTTTCAATCTTCCACGTCGATCCCTCTGCCGCCGTCTTCTTTGGGTCAACAATTAAGAACCAAAACTTCTTTCACTGTGGCTAATTCGCGTAAACAACGAAGATTCCAATAACCTTCGAAATTAGCCACAAATCACGATTCTGCCGAAAGACCAAGTAGAAAACAAGATTTCAGAAAAGCCAATGAAAGATAATAATAGTCTTTTGCTCCCTCAAAAGTCTTCTCAAGCATGAATTTTCAGCAATCAGTATAAATATCACAAAAGAGATGATCGTATTAACAACAAACTAATACTGGTCAAGATAAGAAAAATGATATTAGTTAGATTATACAACATCACGAGAGGCATCCTAAATTCTAAAATATCTTAATAGCCCAAATTATGAAACCAACAAAAAGTTTATGATACAGTAAAAAAAAGAAAACATTAATGATTGTTATTCTTATTCTCTAACCCAAAGAAAACAACTATTCAAGACGTAACTACCACCTTGCTATCTTATTGATTCCAAACTCTGTTTCCTAAATGGATGATTGGAAGGACAACCAATTTCATCTAATTCTTTTCATTAACATGTATCTCTATGGCTGAAAGTTGTCTCAGTTTTAACTTTAAAACCATATGGTGAGCCATTTAAAATAATAGCAATCAAGGCATATGACTTTGAGATTTTCCATGATGTATTCTCATTCTCTTGAGTGGATCTTGGCAATATCATTGCAAGTTTAACCTCCAGAAACCCAAAATGGAAATGTTTTTTAAAAATAAAAATTGTGTTATACGGGTGTGTTAGGATATTGGATTTAAAATGGGAATGGGTCTTTTTTTAAATTTTTTTTTTTGGTTATTTTGTTGATTTGGGGATTTTTGTTAGTTGAGGGTATAAATGGTGAAATTAATGACGGCGAAGGTATAAATAACTTTGTTTTAATGGCAAGGGTGTAATCAACTAATAAAACAAAGTTGAGGAGTATTTTTGACCCTTTTCCCTTTTAAAAATACCCAATACATTTCAAAAATATTTGAAAAAATTAGTAAACTAGTAAAAAAAAAACATATTTAGTAAAAATATCCATACTTTATAAATATTAGTAATAATGTAAAAAATGTCATTATTTTAAAAAATTTATGTTTCCCAATTTTCCTCCTATTTTATCTCCCTTTTTCAATTAATTATATCTATCTTTTTTTTTTAAAAAAAAAACATTCTCTCTCATATTTATCTTTTCAAATTGTTAATTCTGTCTTCCATTTAATTTTTTTCTCTCTCTCATGTTTATCTATTCTGATTTTCCTCCAACATTCAAGTTGCAAATATTTCTCTGCCATATATTTTGATTGTTTTTTTAATCAAAAAATGGGTCAACAAAAATTTCTTTGATTAAGGTATTCCCAATTTTTATCCTATTTTCAGATTTCTTTTCTGATTTTGTTTTTGTTTAAATCTTAAAAAAATGTTGTTTGTATTTTTCAATTTTCGTTATGGTTTACTCTCCGATGACTGAATCTAAGAGGCTTATTAGAGGTATTCATCTTAATCAATCAATTTCTAGTGATTTTTTATCCTTTAATTTATTTATTACTCAACAAATAGTGTATAATGTATGATCCGCTGCTAAAATGAAGAAAGAAAGTGGGTTACAACATTTACAAGACTCATTGGTATGCAAAACCTTCCTCAAATTCAGAACGCAAATGTAGAATTTCGTCTACTCTTGAGAATCTTGAAAAAGACGACGAAGATCGGATAGTTGTCGAACAATTTTCTATTATTTTTTTTATAGTATTTATAGTTCTTTTTTAGATTTGATATGCTTTCTCAATTTGTATTCAAATCACTCACTATGTATACTATCAATATTTGTATTTATAAAAAAATTCATGTTGCATGGTTTATGAATCTTGTATTTGTCCCTAATTTATATTCATCCAAATGTATGTCAACTAGTTATGTATTTTATTTATAAGAACAATTTTCTATTAGTTCATTTGTATTCGAATACAAATACAAATAATACACATATTGAAATGAATACGACTTAGAAAAGGAAACAAGATTTTGAAAAGAAAAATAAATGCAAAGTGAAAAAAATATACGAATACAAATGTATTTCTTAAATAACTACATATTTATTTGCCATACATATTGGAATGAATACAAACTAATAAAGAAATACAAGCTTCATCATACAAAATACAACATGAAACTAGAATAAATACTAATACAAATGGTATACAAATTGAAATAAATACAATTTAAGCAATGATACAAAATTTTAAAAAATAAAACAAAAAGAAAAGTATGCAAATACAAATAAAACTATAGGTGTTCAAGTTTTTAAATTAAAATAAATTAAAACTAATAGATAAAACTATAATGTATTATCATAAAGTTTCATAATAGTAATTAGTGAGAATGAGATATTATATTTTTTGATTATATGATTTTCATAACAATAATTAGTGAAAAATTAATATTCAAATTTTATAGATGTGGTACTTCTTTAATTTCGTGATTTTCATAACAATAATTAGTGAAAAATAAATATTTATTTTGGTTAATAAAAGTGTTTAAAAATAAAAAAAGGATTAAGAAAATTGAATATTGAATTATCTTAGAAAAATGGAGAAAATAGTGTTTTTTTAATAAATTGTACTTGATATTTTTAACATTTATTCCTTTTTAAAATTAATTATCTTCCCTAAATTCCTTTCAATCTGTTATATAAAAATTATATATATTTTTAAATAAAATAAATAATAAAAATAAAAATAAAATATATAACAAACTAAATTTTAACATTTTTACTCAATATTAAAAATGTTATTAATGAATCCTCTTAAATATTATTTTGAAAATTTCCAAAAATATTTTCAGCATAAAGCAAACACATCAAAGCGAAGCTCCAAATCCATGTGACCAAACGGCCCACTAAAATAAAGGTTCTTTGGGGTCTGAACAAGAAGTGAAGCTTCCCGATCAAATCGACCGAAGCCACCGTCTTGTGGAAACGACCGGTCAATCTTACCAACCGCTAACTTTGTCTTCTTTCCGGTGAACTGCCGGTCAACACCATGTTTTCCAATTTTGTCACCAAACGCATAACGCACAAACTTCCATTTCATTCATCTCCACTAAAAATGGAGAATTCAAGTCAAGAATCGATCGCATCTCCGGTCGGAAAATTCGGTTACATATGACTCTTCCTATCCTATCTACTTGCCGTCTGGAACTTTATCGAAGTGTTAAATAATTGTGTCGATATTATGTCCTTCGATGAAGATATCCTAACCCTTAAGCCTGTTCCAAATCTCTCTTTTGAACACCCTTATCTGCCTACGAGTCTCATGCTCCATTCTATTCCTTCTGCTTCTCTCAAGACTAATGAAATTCTTGCTTCTTCCTCCGTCTATGGGATGTTAGTGAAACTTCTATTGAACCCCTTTTCACTCTCAGTAACAGTACAACTAGTGAATATTGTACCCCTTTAACGTCTTTTGATTGGAAGGAGGTGGAGCCGAGAAGAATTGGTACTTCTACTATAGACACTACTTGTACCATCTGGGATGTTGAGAAAGGGGTTGTGGAAACCCAACTGATACCTCATGACAAAGAGGTTTTCGATATAGCTTGGGGTGAAGCTGGGGTTGGAAACTGAGGTTGGCTTGGAAGAAGCAAGATTTGAGATACATGACTACCATATTGATGGACAACAATAAGATTTTAATTTAGATATTAGGTCCCCAGCAATGCCTGTGGCAGAGTTGGAAAGGCATCAGGCGAGTGTGAATGCTATTGCTTGGGCTCCACAGAGTTGTAGACATATTTGTTCTGCTGGGGCTGACGGGCTGACTCTCATTTAGGAGTTGCCAACTGTTGCAAGGCGCCAAGGCCTAATGGGGTTGATCCTATGCCAATATACTCTGTTGGAGCTGAGATTAATTAAATTCAGTGGTGCACAACGTGGTTGGATTGCCATTGCGTTTTCTAACAAGTTGCAGCTGCTTAAAGTATAAGGCGATTGGATGATTGAATTTTTCCTGTAAGACAACAACTACTACTGCTTTAATATCTCTTTAATACGTGGGTGTGTCCTTTTTGGACTTCTCAACCCTGTTATACATCTAGATAGTTACAACTTATTGTCTGTGACCATATAACAAAACAGGAAAGCTGATTTAGTAATTTTGAGATCCTGCTAATTCTTACTTATAGTAGATAATGTATTAATGAGTTATTGAATGAAGGATGCCTGTTTATGTAGATTTATTGATGTAGTTCCTTATTTTTATCACGTATAGAAATAAAATTTATATTGTAGCTATTGAGTATGGGAAATTAACTTAAACCGTAATGCAAGATGTGAAATTTAACTCGCAGAAACTTGAAGCATGGTTGAACTAGCTACTAGTTAATGCGACTTATTAGCCAATTGTGTTAGATCATCAAACATATATAGCCTTTGCTTATGCAACATTTTTTTTACCAAGTAATATGGCTTTTAATGATATTAATGTCAATTGTGCTTCCACATGATTAATAGAAGAACAACAGTTGTACATGCTTTGGAACATAATGTCAGCATTGTTTTCCAGAGACCCCCTACTTTGTATACTTGTATGGATCAGTGGTAACCTATTGGCTGCAAATTCAACATGCTTTAGATTTTGACCCTCAACTTATACTTCTATTTGTAGTTATTCTAAGACAAATTACCAATTTGATAAATGTATAGCTAGTCAACTTCAAGAGGAACTTGTGGGGTTTTCTTATATTGCTGCAAATTGTGAATAGTGGAATTGGATCAGTATTAAAGGGATAAAGATTTTAGTATTCCGTGTTGTTTACATTGTCATCGTATTATTTGTCGTTGCTACTGTTCTCTTCTTCATGGATTCTTTGCTATTGTATTTTCACTTGTTTTTTTTTATATGTTTTACTTGAGCCAAGGGTCTACAAGAAATAACATCTCTACCTTCACAAGGTAGGGGACACACCACCCTCCCCAGATCCCACAATTACATAGGGTATGTCATTATTATGGCTGACGATGGGCATAGGATTGTTGGCAGATTAGTGTGGGAATAACCTGGAAAGGATTTCAAGGTTTTTTTGCTGATGTCATATCTATTAATAGCTAAGTTGCTTGAACTCTCCAAAAATGTTTACGCACTCGTGTTGGATCCTTCAAAAAGACACTTTTTCTGGAGGATCCAACACGCTCCCATCGACATTTTTTAAGAGTATGAGCAACATATATTAATACTTAATAGCATTGAGTTTGACATCCCAAGTTACATATTGAGTTTCAGAAAGAATTGATAAAATCAAGAGATAGAATGATTATGACAAACGTTGGATATTTTAGGCACATGCTGGAGAGAAAATAAATTAAGATGAGAATAAATAAATAAATAAATACAGGTTAAAAACTCAAAGAATTACTTACATAGTCGACATACTTTAAATTAATGGCTTTGAAGCACATTTATGATTAATTTGTTTGTTGAACTTATTCAAATAAGTGTTATGGACTGCACCAAAGTTAGTAGCAGGATTGTTTTTTTATATGTTATTGGGTTTTTGCTAGCACGTGAACTAGTAATGTTATCATGGAGTGTTCTTTGAGTGACAAGACACCATTAGACGTGGTCTAGTGGTATCTAGTAATGATATTATGGAGTGTCACGTGGAATGTGAAAATTATTGGTTTAAGTTGTATAGGACGTCGTTAAACAGTTTTAGCGCCCTTCATATATTCTGTTTTAAGACTTGAAACTGATATTCTTTTTCGTGAAATGTTGTCGAACTTTTTTTCTTCTTTTATTGGGCTAGCTATTCTCCTTATATGTGTTTCCATGGTGCTGTAGAAGTATTGTTACCTTAGTTTAAGTTCTGCGATTACAGGAAAATTTTCAGCTTTAGGAGAAAAATTGTAACTATATGAGTGTCACGACCCGAGGGCACCCGTAAGTCGTGACGTAGCATATTCGACTTTGAAGAGGTCTTATACAAGCTCATAGTATTTATTACATAACTTCATATAAAAATGGAGGGAATTTAAAAGTTCTCTTTAAACATAGTACGGAAATCATTTCATAATAACGGAAGTCTTTTTAACATGTATCTCACAACCATCTACGAATACATGAGTAATAATGTCTTTGGGACGCAACCCACAAAAGTCTGAAACATAATAGAAGACATAACGGAACATAGGGGTTTGTCCTCGAATGCTATGATGACTTATCAATCTTCAATCTTCTCCAAACTTAGGAACCTAGCCTCCAAGCACTCAAATCTTCCAAAGGCTCCTATATTTGGTTAGAAATGTAGGCAATATGCGTTAGTACAAAGGTACTAAGCATGAAAGCTAACATATAAAACATAAGATATCTCAAAGGGTTGGTCAATATAAGACATAATCATAAGAGACAATAACATAATCATAGCATGAATATCATATCATAATAAATCAACATAGTACTTACATAATATCATACTTATCCTTGAGTCTCTCCTAGACAAGTGAACTACTTCCCAAGCCACTTCCAGGTATACTTGTGCAAGGCCAAGGTAGTATCACCTAGGCTAAGTACTTCTTTTTGGTCCTTCTTGATCATAATTCACCCTCATATTCAAGACTTAAGTCCACAAATTATAAGAGTACTATACCCCTAAGCCACCTCAAGGCACACTTGTGCAATGCATGTGAGGTGCCCCATAATACCACACACACTAAGCATATCTTGAAGTCACTCCATTCATATTAACCATCTTTAGGTGTCATCTTAGACCTACTTCCTATTGACAAGGAACTACCAACCTAGGTCAATCATGTCATGACAACTAAAGCAACTATCCAAGCTAGTCATACATCACATAAGGAGGTCATTTCATAAGTAGCTTCAAGTCATACTTGTGCCATGTATGAATGACATCCCATACTACCCTTCATACTAAGTACTTCTTTAGGCTAACCTAATCTGTGCTAATTTATTTTTCATTCTAGTCTGTTAAGCTTAGCATAATAACATAATAGACCCACTACCATAGAAAACATCATAAAATACAATCCAAGCTAAGAAAGGAAGGATATAAGAATATCAACCCAACCACCATGCAACCATTCATGTAGATGTAAGCTATCCGTAGGGGAGCATAAGTCCTTAACCCTAAGCTATCCTTAGGAGAGTGAATATCTCAATCCTAAGCTACCATGAAGTGGTCTTGGCCTAACCAAATCAAGCTTCCATGAAGATGCTCTAGTCATGCTACTTCAAGCTAACCCTAGGAGAGTATCGATCCTCCATTCTAGGCTACCTTGCCTACTACTAATGCAAATTACCATGAACAAGCATTATACTAAATGCAAGACCAAGCTAAACATGACAGAGCTTACTTTCTCAATCCCAAGCTATCATGGCATACACTATCCCAAGCTACCATGAGATCTACCATCCCAAGCTACATAATTCAACTATTTATGAGGGAACCATAAGACTTAACCTCAAGCTATTCTATTACAACAAGCATGATTCATTTTAGGTGATTAACTTTCACATTCTACTACATGCAAGCTACTCATCATATTAGACTCATTCTATAAGCCCTAGTGATCAACATTATGACTTCAAGCCCTACATTCAAACTTTACTTCATGATCCCCATACTAGTTTAATTTTAAGACACATTAGTTCTAAGCCTTAGTCATAAGCCAATATTCTAAGCATACTTCATCATAAAGTCTCAATTCTAATCCATTCAATTCACTTTCTATTATACATGCACACATCTAGTTTAATTGATGATTTCATAATTCTATTTTACATATGAACAATTCAAGAGAATCTATCATGAATAATCAATTTCTCATTCAAAGCCTAAACCCACATAATCTAGAATTTAGGGTTAATCATGAATTCAACATAAATCCTTCATAATCACATGAATCAACATCAACTTAATCATATATGGGAAGAATCCAACCCTTTGGAATCATACCCACGTAATTCCCATGCATTGGAATCAACCTAACCTTGGGGTTCTTCTTCACAAAATAGGGAAATATGGGGGACTCTATGGGTGGAAGAACCCGTAGATGAAGAGCTTTACATACCTTGAGTATCTTCTTAGAACAAGCCTAAAGCAAATTCCCCTTTGTTCTTGACTCTAGCTTCAACCCTAAGTTTCTTCTTCGATGGAGATTTTGAGAGAATTTGAAAGAGAAGAGGGATTTGAAATTTTGATTTCTAATTGAGTAATTGTGTTTTTGATTGGGGAATGGGTGTATGATGACTTAAAACCGTATATATTATGCCCCCCAATACCCAAAACACCCCTACATTATTTGGACTTCAAACTAAAAGTCCAACTTGACTTTAAAATGACGCGACCAAATCTGGGAAGCCTCTACACGATGCGCAGGCACCTCGAAATCTGCCTCGTGAATTATTTTTCGAGGGAGAGGACTCTGTGTCAAGCCTGCTTCGCAGGCCAATTTTTTTGGCCTTTGAGTGACAAGATGCGGCAAGCCGCCAACAGCTCCAAAAACCTGCTGCCCTGGCAGCTTCCTTGGCCAACGTTTGGGTCTTCCTTGAGGACCCTTAGGGTGGTCCTCGGGGAGTCGTACGGTACCCAAATCTTTGACGCTAAACATGTCATATAGGTGTAGGAACCCTTTATACTCAATTTCACCTCCATACCACAGTCAAAAACTCAACTACAAGGCCCTACGTCACACTAGTTCAACTAGGCTAGTTTCCGGGCATCATGGTCGTTTCTTGACGCTTTACTTCTAAAATTTTCAAATTAAGATAATTGCATTAGATTAGGTCTACAATTTTTAACCCTTTTTAAGTTATTAGACCTCACGTAGGACTTTAGCTTAAGTCATACGATTCCGGGTTGTTTCAATGAGTTCCTTTGCAATTATGTGGTGTGGGAGCTTATTCGATTGAGCATAGAGACTTTCATACTTTCATTTTTTGTTATGCTAGTTGCATTGGATCTAGAAATCCGTTACCAGTTGATAGAAGGAAAAGAGTAAGGTTTAGGCGTTACCCAATAGTTGGTGAACCCGACGTTGGTAATGTATTGAAGCTGCTCAGTCTAAATTTGGATACTAGTTTCTGTAGTTGCAACTCTGACAATCTTATATAACTTTGTTTGATGCAACCTATTGATGCACTTTTGTTTGAGCCATCTTGGACCATATTATTGGGCATTATATTATATTTCTGTAGTAGCAGCTCTGTTTCTTATTTTTCGTTTCTTGATTTTGTGTGATGTCACTTTTTGAAAAGAGGTGATTCTCAAAATGAATTGAATAGTGATACTAATGAAATTGGACATTAAATCAAATGGCCCAATAAAATATTAATTCTTCTGGGGGCCCAAAATAAGAACTGAAGCTTCCAGATCAAATCACTCATAGCCACGAAAGACTGATCTGTTGTCGTCTTGTGGAAGCGAAAGCTAGTCAATTCTGCTGATCACTAACTTTTCTTCCCTTCGAGCGAACTGCCAGTGAACACCATGTAAGCTCAGTAACATGTTCTCCAATTCCAATTAAATACCAAACCCATAACACATCTACAAACATAAATTCAACTCCAATTTTCCCCAATCTATCCTCGCTGAAATGGAAAAAAAATCCGGTAAAAAATCTCATCTCCGATCTGGAAATTCCGTTACATATGACTCATCTTACCCCATCTACGCCATGGCTTTTTCCTCCTTCACTTCTTCCCTCCCCAATTGCCACCCTCGAATTGCCATCGGCAGCTTTATCGAAGAGATCAACAATTGTGTTGATATTCTCTCTTTCGATGCATATAACCTAACCCTTAAGCCTATTCCAAATCTCTGTTTCGAACACCCTTATCCACCTACGAAGCTCATGTTCCATCCTAATCCTTTTGATTCTCTCAAGTCGAATGACATTCTTGCCTCTTGCAGTGACTATCTCCGTCTTTGGGAAGTTCGCGATACTTCTATTAAAGACCTCGTCACTTTCAATAAGAATAAAAGTGGTGAATACGTTGCCCCTTTGACGTCTTTTGATTGGAATGATGTGGAGCCCAGAAGAATTGGTACTTCCAGTATAGACACTACTTGTACCATCTGGGATGTTGAAATAGGGGCTTTTGAAACTCAAATTATAGCCCATGATAAAGAGGTTTACGATATAGCTTGGGCTGAAGCTGCGGTTTTTGCTTCCGTTTCTGCTGATGGGTCAGTTCGGATTTTTGATTTGAGGATGAAGGATTATACTACAATTATTTATGAGAGTCCAGAACCGGGCACTCAGTTGTTGAAGCTGGCTTGGAACAAGCACAACTTAAGATATCTGGCTGTCATGTCGGATAGCAACAAGATTATGATTTTAGATATGAGTTCTCCAGGAAGGCCTCTGGTGGAGTTGGCTAGGCATCAGGTGAGTTTTAATGCTATTGCTTGGTCTCCACAGAGTCAGCGACATATTTGTTCGGCTGGGGATGACGGGCAGGCGCTCATTTGGGAGTTGCCAACTGTTGAAAGGCCTAATGGGATTGATCCTATGGCAATGTACTCTGCTGGAGCTGAGATTAATCAAATTCAGTGGTCTGCTGCGCACCATGATTGGATTGCCATTGCGTTTTCTAACAAGCTGCAATTGCTTAATGTATAAGGCAATTGGATGATTTAATTTTTCCTGTAAGCCAACAATTACTACAGCTTTTTTATAATTATTAATTTGTGGTGGAAAGGGGTTAGAGCTTAGATGTTATTGTGCATCCTTTTTGGACTGCTCGATCGTGTTATACATTTAGATAGTACAACTTATTATGCGGCTAAAAAAAACAAATAGGAAAAGCTAATTCAGTAATTCTGAAATCCTGTTGATTTCTGCTTGTGGTAGATAATATATTAATAAGTTATTGATGAAGTTTAGTATGTCTTTTAATCTGTGATGGAGGGGGTTGGAGATTAAATTTTGTTATATGTCCTTTTTGGATTGCTCAACCGTGTTATACATTTACAACTTATTGTGTGTGGCAATAGAACAAAACATGAAAAACTGATTTAGTAATTCTGAGTCCGGTTGATTCTTGCTTGTGGAAGTCTGGTAGATAATGTATTAATGAGCTATTGAATGCAGGATCCTGTTTATGTGGTTTCACTTATTGATGTGGTTCTCAATTCTTATCATGTATAGAAATAAAATCTGTCTTGTATATGTTGAGTTAGGAAAATTAATCCTTATTGTGATGCAAAATGTGAAATTTAACTCATAGAAAATAGACACACACTTGAATAGTTACTAGTTAATGTGACTTCTCAACCAGTTGTCCGATTATCAGACATATATCCTCCACTTATGCTCTGGACAATTCCACTTAAAATGGCTTTGGGTGACATTTTTTAATGAAGTAATATGACTTTAAATGACATTAATGACAATTGTCCTTGAACATTATGAATAGAAGAACAAAGATAATATCACTCTTTGAAACATGATGTCAACATTGTTTTCTGGAGACCCCTGGCTTTGTGTATTTGTATGGATTAGTGTAACCTATTGAAGGTAAATTTGCTTTAGAGTTTAACACTTAACTTACACTCCTATTTATAGTTATTCTGGAAAGATTTTCATATTTGATGATTGTATAGCTAGTCAACTTCAAAGAAACTGGTGGGGCTTTCTTATGTTCTTACAAATAGTGAATAATGGAATTTGTTCAATATTAAAAGGTTGAATATTTCAGTATTACATATTGTTTCCTGCTTCATTTATCATATCGTTGTCGTTACTATTGTTCTCTTCTTTGTTTTTAGCATTGCTTCTTCTATACCTTTGCATGGTAGGGGTAAGGCTGCGTACACACCATCCTCTTCAAATTCCACTTGTGGTGTTGAAATTATACTGTGTGTATTTGTTGTTGTTATTGTTAGAGGGCTGAGGATATGCATAGGATTGTTGGCAGATTAGTGTGGATAGAACCATGAAAGGATTCAAAGTTGTTCGGTGATATGATGATGACAGGGATAAGATTGTTGACAGATAAGTGAGGATAAAACCATGAAAGGATTCAGAGGTTGTTTGATGATTTCATATCTATTAATAGCGCCGAGTTTCATACTTAGTAGACTAGAGAATGTGATGTGTCCAATTATAAAATCAAGAAATAGAATGATTATGACAAAAGTTGGAGATTTTAGGCACATACTGGAGAAATAAATTAAGATGAGAATAAATAACAAATCAAGATTACAAGACACTAGGAATCACTTAAATAGTCCATGAGCTTCAAAATGATGGCTTTTGAAGCACATTTGTGCTTAATTTGTTTGATGAACTTATTCAAATCAAGTTTTATGGACTGCATGAAATTTAGTAGCATTATTGTTTTCTTTATATGTTACTGGGTTGCTGTTAGCACATGAACTAATAATGTTATCCGTACTTTGAGTGACATGATATCATTAGATGTGGTCCTGTCAAAAGTATAAACTATTTGTTAAGTCGCATAGGACACGGCTAAACAATTTCATCTGCCCTTCATAGATTCCGTTTTAAGACTTGGAGCTTATGTTTCTTTTTTCGTGAAATGCTGTCAAAACTTTTGACTTCTTAAAGTGGGACTAAATGTTCTCCTCATTGTTGTTTCCGTGGTAATGTAAAAGTAGTTGTCACCCTAGTGTAGGTTTTGTGATTGCAGAAAAATCCTTGAACTACAAGAGGAAATATAATTTGAGAAGTTCCCTTGCAATGGCACATTAGTTTCTGCAGTAACATCTCTTACAATCTTATGTTGAACAAAAAATTCAACTTTGTGTGACGCAGTATGCTGATTCATTTTCATTTGGGCACTGCTGGATCATCTTGTTCTTTGAGAGATCTGATTTCTGTTTCTAATCCTTGTTATAGTTGTATTTGTTCTACATGGAGCTTCTGTGGCTCAAGGGTTGTTTATTGCTTAACAATAATCTTTTCCTTTTGTATAAAATTCAGCTTTTCATCTGTTAAGAAATAGATTATACTTCATGGAAAATATATAAGTTAGATAAATGAATTATTTTTAGTTTAGAAGGCCCAATCTGGAAATCGTTGGTTTCATTAAGAGTTTTATCTTGGTAATTCAGTTTAATGCTTAAAAAGAGAAACAGTTTAATTTTCTTTCTTAGCTTGTTCTCTCTCCTGATTTTATTATCAAATCTCAAAGAGGATTTCTGATGTGTAGCTCACAGAGATGTGTTGGATCTACTGTGGCTAGGTTGATTGAAGTCTTAATTGTGTTGCATTGCTCATTTGGGAGATATCAACTTCAAACTGTTTGTCTCTCTGATTTTCTTCTTTACCCAATTCAAAGTCATCTTTATCAATTGTAGTGACCCAAAAACTAATGAAATACAGTTCAATGGTCAACATGTTCAAGGGATAGAAAATTTATTGTCATGTTGGTTGAAGATTATATGTGCAGACTGCTTGAATTCACATTTCTTGACACGTGATAGAGGTAGACGAGTAATCCTTTATTTTGATGTAAAAAAAAGTTCATTTCCCGATTGGTATCTGTCTTTGTTTTATGATTTAGAGCATAACTGCTACTTTATTTCCTTTGACAGTGTATTTTAGTTTTTCTTCATTACTGCAAAGCAAGAACATAGCCATAAATCTGTTGTTACTAATGTTTTAAGTGATTTTCTCTTTGAATTTGCAGTATGGACTATTGGAAGACTTGATTTTCTACCTTCTTTGTAAGAGATACAAAAACTTTTGCCTCTGGTCATGAAGGTGGTGGGATTATACTTTTTTTCAGGCACTTCAGTAGCACCATTTGGAAAAATAAAATCTGCAGTTTAGAACTTTTTCTTTCTTTCTATTATCTAGTAAGCAGTAAGCATCAATTTGAAAACCAAGTGTAGTGGAAAATGATAAAGCAAACTTGTTAACTGTGTGTGTTGAGATATTACCTAACTGTTCTTCAATATTAAGTAACTTGAAAGCTGTTCTGAATCTTTTATTAACTATTGGCCTAGAATGTGGACTTCTTGCTCATCCTGAGATGAAAAAATTGCAAAAAAGGTAAAAAGCTTCTCTCTGTTTCTCTATTAAACTTCCCAAATTCTCTTTGCATCATTGTTTATTTTTTTAAATTTTTTTTTTGAACATTTTGAAGCTAGGAAAGTTGTAGAATTTTACACTTCTTGGTTGGATTCCCCCCACCCCCCCAAACTGAGTTTTTTTCTGCTAAAAATTCTCAAACAAATATGTTGTAGGTATGCCAAAACTCAAAACAGTCCTTAAAATACATATAGTTTTGGTAAAATTTCAGTCTGAATTTTTAAAAAATTTCAACATTTTTTATTTGTTAAAAAAATGAATAGACCAAAGAAAGGAAATATCGCCTTTGTTAAGAAAATATTAGTTTCGTTTCAATTTGTTTGTTATATTTTCCTTTTTAATTTGTATTATATTGTTAGTTTAAATACCATGTTTGTTTTGAATGTCAGTTAAATTCTATTGTATTGTTTAAATTCATCGTTAGATAACAATGTCAAAACTCATTTTGTGAATGATCAATTTTGTATGATTGTGTAGTTACCTAGTTTTTCTTTTACTCTACCTTTTCATAATAGTTCTGCTCGTATATTATAACCTTTTTTTCCCGTGAGTTTATAGTTAAAATTTTGCAAGTATGACATCATATGATGACGAAAAACAATATAATTTACCTAATCATTATATTCCTTAAAATAATACATTACAACACAATACATATAAAACGTTAGTCTTTTCATTTTAACAACTTTAATTTAAAACAATAAATTTTCAACAGAAAAGGGTCAAAGTAGCCCTCGAACTATTTAAAATACCTCATATATATACTTAAATTATATATTCTTCGTCCGGTATTGCTTGTCATGATTTTTATTTTTAGAGTCAAATTATAAAAATTTTGACTAACATTTTAAGATATATAGTTTAGAATATTTATTTTTTTGTTTAAAATATCAAATTAATATGATCTAATTTAACTTTAAAAATTAATCAAATTAATTTTCGAGAGTATTTGTGATGAAAACTACCCCGTCATTTATGTCTTTGATAACAAATATCTTTAAAAATTATATATATGAGTTAATTTCGAATAGTTCCTTTTACATAAAATGGTCAAAGTCAAAATAGTGTAGGAGGCTACAAACAAAAGTCAAAGTTTAAGAGATTTTCGAAGCCAATTGGGAAAGGAAATGTGGAGTGTTTGATCCCATTTCCAACCTCAAATTCCTCCTCCTCCTCTTTCAATCCTATCAATGGAACCTCACCAATTCCTCATCTTATTCACTGAAACTACTTGATATGTCTTCTCAGCCGCCGACGCCACCACAACCGCCGCATCTCCACAAGAAACCCACTTCCTTCCCTGACGTTATCTTCACTGCCTTTTCTCTCTTCGTTATCTTTTCTTCTTCAAACCCTACTACTTCCCTTCTACGTAAATTTACCCCTCTTGTTTCTTTTCCTTTAAACCCACGTAGATTTCTCAGAATTCCCACTATGTCAAACCCATCTCCCAGTAATCTTCGTAACCCTATTCATCACTTCCCCAATCCCCAATCACTCTCCGATTGGCTAAGGCCGCGTATGCCTTCTGATTCTTTTGCTTCTTGGGGTGTCAAGCCGGGAACCAAGAATGTTAGTAATCTCTGGCTTGAGTTGTCTGAAGGGGAGACTTTGCTGGCTGATTCTACGCCGCCGGTTCGAACTGTTGAGGTTATGGTTGTTAAGGTTATTGGAAAAGACAATAAGGTCCTTGTTGAATCGCACCAAGAATTGTCGGATGGTGCTGTTAGGCATAGATGTCGGCCGTTGTCGGAGAAGATGAAACCTGGCGAGACAGTTGAAGATGCGGTTTTTCGTGCTGTGAAAGAAGAGCTTGGTTCAGTGCTTGGTGGGTCTTTCGGTCAGCTCAGAGAGAATGGCATTGTTAAGATTTTGCCCAATTCGTATTCGAAGAAGGTGGAGGAAAGGGTTTCAGCGTCTTATCCTGGATTGCCTGCTTGTTATGTGTTGCATACAGTGGAGGCTGCAGTGGATGGTTTGCCTGAGGAGGAGTTTTGCACAGAAGAGACTGATGAATATGGAGATTCTAGTGAGAGGATGGTCATAAATGGTGCAGTTTCCTGTAAAAAGCATTACTGGAAGTGGGTTGATGCTGATTCGTTGTGATCGGTGAGTTTGAGCTCTTGTCCTTCCAAGATTGAATTTTTGACTACTATATACATGGTTCAATAATAAAGATGGCTTCCCAGAGACTTGCGGTTGAGTGTCTTTATACTTCTATAGGATATTTAGATACAGTTACATTGCTTGAGTTAGCTTTCTATTCATTGTTAATATTCATTCCAGGTATTGAGGATTTAATATTTACTGCGTCTATATCTTTATAACAGCGAGAGCTTCTTGTATTGTCCTGATTTCTGAGACAGGATGACATTTGAAATCCAATTACATTATACTTATGGTGCTTCCAACTAGGAATAACTTGATAATTAACATCTTAAATACACATGTTTGCTTTGTTATATCTGGGTGAGCCTTGTTTCCTACCACTTGATCTGGATGTCTAAATCTTTTGGTTAGGTTATCCTTTACCATCAAAACCATTTATTTTATTTTGGTTAGGTGCCAAATAATGTAATGACCTTCCATTTTGAGCTTGCTAATTGAGGGGATGGCTAATTGGCTATAGCTTCAGGCAGCCGAGGGGGGGGGGTATATCTGCGCTTTAATTTCAATGACACTCCTTGTTTTAGGAATCAAAGCCAAAACTCAGTTCCAAAGTTCAAGTTATGCAGAGGCAAACATGATTAGTTTATTTCTTTTAATCTTCCCAAGTTTTGGTGGTCTGAGTTATTCGATTACATGTCATGGTGGGCTGATGCATGTACCAAATGGAAATTGTTGATTCATGCATAAACTATCTCAAACACTATTGCTATTATTATTGTGCTCTACTTCTGGTGACACTGTTGAATTATGGGATTAGTGATACTTCTATGCTTTTACATCTAATGTAAGCTTCATGAGGGACTTGTTACTTACATCACAACTCACAAGTTCAAGCCTTGCGCCATGCAAACTATGCCGGTAAGCCTGGTATTTAAGTGGAGTAGGGTAGATGTGCTTGTATGCGCACACCGTATTAGCAATATTTACCTACTTGAGAAAGAGGTATGGTTGGACACCATAGAGGTGGAGCAAGGCTGGAATTAGAGAGAAAAGAAATGGGAAAGAAAGAATCCTTTGTCACCAGCTTTTTGTGGATTTAGTTTAGTGGCTTAATTAGCATAAAAGTAGATAATGTTGGCAATGCGTATGAAAGAATTTGAAATTAGTTAGTTTGATGATGGCCAGCATTCCCTCAATGCTGAAGAATACTACTTATGAATTGTCAAAAAAAAAGATTAAATTAAATTAGTTAGGATTTTTAAATTCTGTTTAGTTTCTGTAATTGACACCAATTTAAGGGTTTATGGTTCTGTAGGCCTCTAGTTGCCTTTAAAGAAAAAACTACACTAGAGTCTAATTCTGTCAACACTGTTGAGTGATAGGATAGATGATACTCCTATGCTTTTACATCTAATATTGGTTGGGGCGACTTACATCACAACTTACAAATTCGAGCTCATAAGCCAGTAAGCCTAGTATCTAAGTGGAGTAGGGCACTCCATGTATTAGCAATATTTACCTACTTAGAGAGAGAGGTATGGTTAACACCATAGAGGTGGAGAAAGGCTGGAATTAGGGAAAGAAAGAATCCTTGTCACCAGCCTTTTGTGGATTTAGTTTTGTGGCTTAATTAGCATAAAAGTAGATAATGTTGGCAATGTGTATGAAAGAATTCAAATTAGTTAGGCCTTTGAAATTCCTTTTAGTTGCTGTAATTGATACCAATTTTTAGGGTTTAGGGTTCTGTAGTGGCCTCTAGTGGCCTTAAAATGTGGTGATCAAGTTCAAAAATACCCAACTCATGAACATCCTCATTGCTGAAGATGCCACGATTACCTAGTGTTTGTGGTGCTTTGGAGCAAGTTCTCTTCATTCATGATATAAAAATTTCTTTACTCCCTGATACAAAACATGCAGAGGATCGGAAACATAGAAGCCAATTTGAATAAAGCCCTCAAGGTCCTTGAATTTCACTGTTCATTAAGCCACTAACTTTGAATACTCCCGAAGTTCTGGCGATCAGTCTCAATTCAGTTCATGAAGCCACTAACTTACTCTCCAAAGACACTCCTTAACCTAACAAGTTTCTTGTTTCTCTGCTCTTGTCAACACGTTCTCTTTGCGTGAACCCAGTTTCCAGCCTATCTTCAGTTCACATCAGAAAATCTTTCATTTTCATCAGATATACTAGTGCATTAACATGGTTTTATAAAGAGCATTAAGTTTTTAGTTGGATGCTCAAATTCTCACACATTATTGTTACCCTTCAACATTCACTCTCCTCCTCTTACCTTGTTACTACATCGTTGAACTTTAACGTTTGTGTAGTTAATTATCTTGATGTTTTAATTAAAAGTATGTGGGTCTGAAACTGTAGTATGAAGCAACAAACACCCAAGGCTGTGGCTTAGCGTCAATAAAGTTGTGAGATGCAATAATAGTACCCAATAAAATAGCCGAGGTACCCATGCGATAGCGAGCTGGCACAGAGACCAATATAAAGATCAATCAATGTTTTGTGGTCACAAGTGTCTTCCTTTGTCATCCTAGTAGTTGTCTTTTTATAACCAGAGAATTTTTCGAAAACCAATAGTAGTCGTAATATACAAGTACAAAAAGATGTACAGTACCCTGTCGCTTTTAAGTTTTTTAAAACCCCCTTTAGGACGTACAAATTATAGACTAATTGTAGCTTATCTAAACTGTAATTTTTTTTTAATAGAGATGTACAGGTCTTATAATATAAAAAAACCACTAAATAACATAAAGAAGAATGCTGCATTGGATACATTACCGTATTAACTCATCTAATTGGGTCATATCAATCTATTCTAGCTAGATCATCCACTTACAAATAATCTTTAATTCCATCTACACCTAAAACAATCAAGATAAACATTAACACCCTTTTAAGACATGAAATTGACAAAGCTTTCATATTTCTTATCAATATATAAGTTATGATAACAAAAGTTGCAAATATATATATATGGTGTACAATAGACCAAACGTCGATTAATTTGGGCGGATCTCGAACATAGCTAAAGCTTAGTATATATACTCAAGTATCTTTCATCATAAGATAATTTACAAAACATGAACTCCCTATTTGATAAAGGGCTTTAATTATTCAAAGGGTAGTAGAACATTGAGCTCCTTGTCTAAAACTAAGGGGACCAGATGGCAAGGAAGATCCAAAAGGCATAATAGCAACACAATCAACATTAAACCTATACTTGCCAGAAACCCAAGTTCCAACTTTCCATCTTAACCTACCACTTCCTTTCAAATTCACAATCAATTTTCCAACAATTTGATCACGTTGCACCTCATAACCAAAATAAGGATCCACTGGCAATCCATTACCAATCAACAAAGCAGATAAAAAGTTACTATCTTCATGGCCTTGATAAAATGGAGGAAGAGAAGTATGAAGAGTAATTTGTTGTCCTTTATAAGAAGCAAAGACTTGCAATTCATCGTAGTAGATTCCAACTTTCTTATTTGGATTCTTCGATACAAGGGTGAGTTGAATGGATGAGTTAAGCAGTTGGCGCGGACCTGAGAGATTGAGTTGATAAATATCAGCTTCTCTTAGTGTGAAATTTGGTTTTGTAGGATGAAGTGTGAGGTAAAGAAGAAAGATGAATGATAGAATAGAGAGGGAAATTGTAGAGAAGCAAAAGAATAACTTCTTTTTTGGGAATAGTTTTTCTACTTTGAACCCTTTTTCTTCACAATGTTTTGGGGATTTTACATCAATTGGAGACATCTGCAAAGCAAGAAAATAAAGAAAGGGCAAGCTTACAATGCTAAGGAAATGAAATGAAGAGTTTATTATTATTATTATTATATATAGTATACAAGAAGTGGTGTTAGAATTAGAAGTCTATAATTATTTTGTCTTTTGGCTGCTTTTGAGTGGCTACTTTTGCATGGGGTATTGACTAATTAAGTGCAATGATATCAAAGGAAAGTAATTTTTTCCCTTTGTTTACTTTTTGTTGAAGTCATTAGGTTAGTTGTTTAGTTATTAATGGTTGCCTAAAACACCTAAACTCATTACGATAAAAATAACTTTTAGCGGTAATAAATAGACACATTAATACAGAGTATTGAAGTTTTTGTCCCTACTAGTTCAATCTTCAATGTTATTAGATCTAATGTCGCTAAAGATTTTAGGTACACATACAAAGAGTCTTAATTATTGCTAAAAATATATATTTAGTGACAATCAAATTATTGCCGTTAATTAATTTCCGCTAAAGGTAGTAGTGACTTTTAAGTGAACTTCTGTCGTGATCATTAGTATGAGTATATGTAGTTTGACTTGACATATTGTTTAAGAAAGAAATGATCCAAAATAAGTCACAAATGTTTAAGCGACTAAAAATCAATTCATTGCGGATAAAATTGCCATTTCAAAGTAAAATTATTAAGTACTAAATATAAAATCATGTCAAGTCTTTTTAGCTTGATTCAAAAAGAATAAATCATATAAATTGAGACGGAAATGTCTAATTTCACGGTATTTTAATGGAAAAATTATATATAATAGCAAACTAATAACCTAAAATAAATAGAGTAGCTAGGGTTTGATTTAATTGTGCTCCATAGCAAACGTTAGCTAAAGTTTGTCAGGCGTCTCTCTCTCAAAAATCTCGCTCGCCACTCTCCATTCTCGCTTTATACACATAATTGTATAAATTCTGTTTCTGTTTTGTATAAAGCGAGAGAAAATTGTATTTACACATGCAAAAATATATATCTTCGTGTTATACACTTAATTATACAATTTTCAAACGTTTTACTTCAAATATTGCAGAGAAAAAGGCCAACGAATTATACAATTGCGAATTATACAATTGTAGTGAAATACAATTTTCTCTAGCTTTATACAACAAAAGTGTATATATTGTGTTTTTGTATAAAGTGAGAGAAAAACATATATCTTCTTGCTATACACTTATAATTATGCAATATACATATATTTAATTCGATTCACCTGTATTCAAAGCAAATTTTATAAAAATATTGCAGCGAAATAGGCAGCGAATTATACAATTGTGCATTATACAATCACAGTGAAATAGGATAGCGAATTATACAATTGCAGCGAAATAGGCCAGCGAATGATACAATTGTATATGTATAGTGAATGATACATTTTTATGTTTGCTATGAAGCGCAATTATGCAAACTTTACTATAGCATACAAGTATGGATTTTTTATTTGCTATACGTGAAAGTTGCCCTATTTTAATTGGTGAGCCACTAGACTTACTATTAAAAGATGTTAAAATAAAAAATTCTATATAACATGCGTGCAATGCGTGATATAGAAGCCAATTGCCTTTCCCTAGGATAGGATCCCAAAGGGGGGCAAGAAAGTGAGAGATTATTTTTGTATCGATGATGAATATGCATGCACTTTAGTATATGTGGTGCGTGCTTTTCGTATCATATCAAATTAATGGAGTAGCTTAGTATGGTTGATTTGGAAGAAATATGGGATATAACGGAATCTTCATTTACAACTTTTAGCATTATTGAAAAGAAAAAAAAAACTTTTTTAAAGTGTATAATGATTGCAGTCATTAAAATGATTAACTATATGCCATCGTTATCATTTTATTTCGTTTTTCCTATTTCTTTTACATATAAGATTATGTAATGGATGTGTAAGAAGATCAAACTATTTAATAAGAATAGTTTATTTATCTGCTTAGGTATTCAATTGAATAACTGTAGTTAAGTGTTTAAATAAAGTGTACAAATAAATTTAAGAGATCGTCGAATTAAATTTAGAGTCTTATATAAGAAAATATAATTCACCGTATAAGGATTCTTATCAAATATAGAGTAAAAACGTTTTGAATATAAACTCGTACGAGTACAAGAATATGTTGGACCATTTCACCATTAAATTATATACATGCTTTTCCGTGTAAATTATCTATTTTTTTTTATAGGGAAACTTACATAAATGTGCTATAATAAAAAAAATATTTACCATTTATAGTAATGATATTTTTTTCACTTGATCACTTTTAATTCATTTATAATACAAGTTTAATACATATTACAAAGAACAATTTATTATTCACATATAATACAAGTTTTAATGATGAATAATGCATTTATCACACATTTTAATACACTTATAATACAATGTGACCATTTTTTACCAAACAAACACAATATATTTCAAAAACAATTATAATTCAAATATATGGCATGAGTAATTTACTTTTATTACATATTATAAATTTATCACAATATTGCTATAAATGATGATAAATAAAAAATATTACTAAAATTAATAATTATTTTTTAAAATGTATTAATTCGTAGTAATTTTATTTTATAAAGAAAATAAAGTGATAGGATGGAAAAGCTAGCATTTAATAAATTGAGATTTGAGGTGTGGTCCGTTGAAATTAAAAGTTGAAAAGAAGAGGAAGACACGAAGAATCTAATTAGAAATCGACTTTTTCCAAGTCCATGGGGTATGTGTTCGGGCCATTTGGTTTGAATTTTTTGATTGCACAAAATATTATCTAAATTGAGTTCAAATAATTTCAAATTAGGTTGGATTTTTTTAATTTGATTTTAGGTTGTTTTTTTTTTAAATTTATAGGGCAGATTATAACAATTAACAATCTCAACTCGCCTAATAATTTACTCTATTGTATACTTTTCTAATAATAACAAGGATTGAGGTTACTTTCCTCGATCGTATTGTGTATCAAATTTTATTTATAATATTTTTTATTTTATCAAAGATTGGTAGTAGTTACATACACTACAAGGTTGATCTCCATATCGTTAGTTATTTCAATTCCTATCAGGGACATTAATTATAACTTCAATTCTATTTATTAATTCAAGTAAAAAATACAATTTATTCAAATTGAATATTCAAAATTTACAATCGTAAAAAGAAACCTTTTTGTGGAAAATTGTGTATTCTATAATCTATTATATGTTATCAATCTTAATCATTTTCATTGAGATTTATCTTTTTTTTCCTCCTTTCAAATAAAGGAAAGGGATTGAAGTATTTCTATTTGGAATCTAATTTCTAGTGAATTGAATTATTCATAACTGCATATTTACAATATAAACACGATGATCAGATAAATTTTTTAAAAATAAAATCGAATTTTAATTTATAATTCAAAAATTCATATCAGATACCTCAAAAAGTTATTTCTTCTCTTGTTTTCTAATTTAAAAGGGTCAATTTGCAATTTTAATATCTAAACATTTGATTATTAACACAAGAAATATATTAGTATAGTCAAACATGTATGATTTTGCATTATCACCAATAGAATGAAAAAGTAAAATACAAAAGGTGTAGATAGATCGAGAGTAAGCAATTCAAATACTGTTGTTTATAGTTAAAAGTGTGTCATCCTTAATTTGATTAGGTGAGGACACACACTGTATAATATTACAAACTGGAAAGCACATAGTATAAAATTTTGAAAACACAGGGTAACTAATTGATTGCTTTTAATTAGTAGTATTACTTTTTGGATTACTTCAGTTATGGATTTCGTCTCTTATACCCTTCAACTTGGTCATTTAGAACTCATATATCCCTCGTTATGAAGGTGATCACATATGTACTACTGTTGTATAAATAACTCAGATATACTCTTACTGTTGCAAAAGGAGCTCACATATACTCTTACCATCGCAAAAGAAGCTCACATATACCCTTCGTCTAACATTTGTATAACAATAAGAGTATATGTGAATCACTTTTATAACGAAGGATTTAATGACAAAATTAAGTTCAATAATGAATGAGGAGAAAGTTTGTGTTTGAGTGTAGCCCATCATCATTACTCTTTTGTAACAAATTGTAACAAGTGCAACTTTCTCTTTGCTAATGGACCTATCTCATTTTACTTTGATAAAGACAGGGTACAGGTCCACTGATATTAATATATTGCCCTCAACTTTGTGTTTTGCTTTATGCCTAGTCTATTCATCATGCTCAGGTTGTGTGTCAATTGTCAATCTCTTAATTCATTTCATTTCTCATTTCTGTTGTGCAAAATTTCACGCAACTCTTTTTCCTACCTTGTAAACTGTTCCATTTACGTGTGAAAGGGAAAATTGGACAAATAATATGAGACGAAGGGAGTAATAGCCATCTATTTTTACTTGTTCAGTATTGATTTCGACAAACCTCTAATGTAAATAGAATGATATATGTAACAAATTCAATGCTTTAGAAAATTACGATAGTTTATTAATTATAAGAATAAATTATTTCTTGATTTTTAAACATAGACAAGTAAAAATGAATATGAACTTAATTTGAGTATAGTGAATAAGTAAAAGTAGACGGATAAGGAACAACTATTGAGTACTCTTATCATATCATATCATATATTATTATAAGCATGG